GAGTATGGTTCATCCACGTGGCTAGTGTCGCCTACTCGCAGTCCAACGTACCGAATCATGTGGTTTAAAGTCTTGAGTTTGTACTTGGCCGTAGAAAATAACAAACTATTAGAGCGTAACCACTATCCATGTAGCCCTATCACATATCTATTTAAACTTGAGCTGTTAAAAATTACGCGTTCTTTTTTGTTTAATTGTGCTTCCCCTCTGCTGCTACGAGACACCTCGTCGAAATTCCCCCTTGAGGTCTTAGTGCACAGATTAAAGACTGAGCAGGCTTTACTGATTTTTCTTCTGGCTTATTATCCGACTAGCTTCTTTTTCGAATACCGTTTTCCAGTTAGCAAACTCTTTCAAGCTTAAAAGTAGCAAAAGAAACTATCAATTACCACACACCAGTTCCATTAAAAACGATTCTAACAAGCTGCCGATCAATCAATCAAATTCTCACTTAAGTAATGAATTGCTCCCGCTTATAATATTAACAATTATTCACACAACATCGAGCCAAAATATACTTAACCAGGGAGAGTGTTTCACGAATTAAACCTTGAGTGGTGTGCGATAGCAGCTTACCTTATGGAAATTGCTGCGGATTTCAAATTGTACTTTCAGTACCATAATCCCATAACACCAAAGAAAATGCTTCTTGTAAACCAACGCTTTCTTACAGAATCCACATCTTGAACAGCTTTTTTTTATGTCTGGAACGTCTAGCCAAGCACTGCAGCGCCTTCGTTAGGATTATGGCAGTTATGGTTCGGTTAAACATCCTTAATATGTTCAGCACTATTCCTCCTCAGCGGGATACACTGGATAATTTGCTCTAGCCATCCTTCGATCAGGTAATCCCCTGGTCTAGCGGCATCGCCTGAATAATCGTACTTTGCTTCTTGACCAAATTCAGTCGTAAAAATATCAGGGCAATTCACACGTAGAAACAAAAGCACATCGAACTGGTTGTTCGAGCGGAGCCAGAATCGATTAGTCGGTGGAGCAACACTCAAATCCTTGGATCGAAGCCAGTATGCCACTCGCAAGTGTCCGTTGTTGATGGCATGACTGAAAGCTCGGTGGGTACATCCTTCCGAGCGGTTGGTATGTAGCCACTTGAGTATCTCCAAATTGCCATTCCTAGCAGCGTCATCCATCGCTCTCTTCGTGCATTCCACCTTTGTATTAGTGTGTAGCCATTTCACCATTTCGAAATGGCCATTACCAGCAGCATCGTCCATAGCATCAGTAGTCCAACCTCGATATCTGTTTCCATGTAGCCATTTGACCACTTCTAGATGCCCTTTACCCGCTGCAGCGTTGAACGCTTCAATTGATCGAGCCCACCAGATATTCGTGGACTCAACTTTCCGTCGCTTAGGAGATGTTAGTCTGGCTCGCTCTGTGCATGGATGCATCAACGGTGGGTCTTGAACATGTAAGAACTCAAGGATTTCCAGATAACCATTCCTTGCAGCTTCTACTACTGCACTCTCGACAGGTTCCCGATCACTATACATGCACCTTGCACAACGTTCAAGCAGCACTTTCATACACTCCAAATGACCTTTTGCAGCTGCATTTCTAATAGCATAGGCGTTCGTATCATCGCAGCCTTGGTCCAAGAGATATCCCACTAGCTCAGCATTTCCACTTTTTGCCGCCTTATACAGGAGATCATCGAATGTACACTGATCTTTCATGCTAGCACACGCTTCTGGGCCTAGTGGGTGTTCCATCATCCACTTGACCATCTCAAAGTTGCCACGGCTACAGGCCAGTTCAATCGAAAATTTCCATTCTCTCGGCCATATCGTAATTTTCCGCCTCTTGTTTCTCGTTCGAGCCAGTCGCTGCATGAGATCCAAGTTGCCATGCAGCGCTGCTATAACAATCCCATACGCCCCAAAGTCTTGATTCTTTCTCACGTCCTCCCTTTCCAGAACCCACCCGACCGCTTCAGGCCGGGCCCTTTCATGAATATACTCTAAGATCTGTCGATCCGCAGGCATCAGATACTCTGCAAACTCCATGGCGCCATCATTCACAGCGATCTCAATGATAGTCTCTAGTTCCCCTTCAGTGCTTTCGTATGGCACGTAGTCTTTCAACCAACGGGCGACTTTATAGTGACGACAACGTACTGCAGCTTCCATTGATTGACCTCCCCATCGAACCACGTTACCAGGACCATCCCAGTCTTCTGGCAAGTCCGGAACGCCCTCGAACCACGAGTCTTCACCACCTTCACCGTAACTCATTTGTACAATTTCACGGTTAAAATCCCACCCTGC